AAGGAAGAAGCAGAAGGAAGAAGTCCCCGCACATCAGGACAGCTTGGCCCCAGCGGCAGCAGGGCAGACACTGCTGCAAGACGGATGTCTTCTTCTTTGGAAACAAGGCATGGAATTGTTGGGAGCCTGCTTCCACCAGCAGCATCAGTCCAGCAGCCTGGTCTCATACTTGCTCCAACACTGCCTATGAGGTATCAGGGCTACAGAGCAAAGATGCCTTTAATTTGCTTCGTGTCCTAAGAAGAATTTTACAGCTCTAAATAGCCAAAAATATATGTGCTTTATCAGGATCATGTTATTCCTCAGTTCCCTATGGTTGTCACTCTGGCATATCACACACTGCTGGGGCCAACCCATCTGCTGCATAATCATAGAATGATTTGGGTGGGAAGGGGCCTTAAAACTCATCCAATTCCAAACACTGCCACAGGCAGGGACACCTTCCACTAGACCAGGTTGCTCCAAGCCCCTGTGTCCAGCCTGGCTTTGAACACTGCCAGGGATGGGGCAGCCACAGCTTCTCTGGGCACCCTGTGCCAGGGCCTCAGCACCCTCACAGGGAACAGCTTCTGCCTAAGATCTCATCTCAATCTCCCCTCTGTCAGGTTAAAACCATCCCCCCTTGTCCTGTCCCTGCAGGCCCTTGTCAAAATACGCTGAAAACGTTTCCATTTGTCTTTGCATTAAAGGGCTACTGAAACAGGGTCAACAAAGCTGACTGTTCAAAATATGCCCTAGAAAAGCCAAGGTATTCTTGGTGCCTTCACTGGAGTGCCAGGGAAGTAGAGGGAGAAGGAGCCAGGAAAGTGATCGAGATGTTCCTTGCCTCCATTATGCAGGATGCGATAATTTCCAGCATAGTTTAAAGCCTGCAAACCCACTGTGATGTTCTCAGGAAGGTTTCTTCACAATGAGATCCTTTTGCATCTGTCTTCATCTGCTTTCCTGTCCTCACACCCCACAGGGTGTATTCAGGCCACCCTCTTTTCCCTGCCTGCAGATCACTCTTGCCATGCACCGCTCGAGGATGTGCCAGGCAGTGACAAAGCATGTCCCAGGCTAAAAATAACCCCCATGTTGGGTATTTATGGTAAGATCCTCTCCCCTGCCAGCTCCCTGCCAGGCAGCCCTGCCAGGAGACCTGGTGACGAACGAGTCCTCTTCTGAGGATGTGGTTTGATAACCCCTGTGTGCTCCCACCGTGTTTAATGGAGCAGGGGAAGAGGGAGAGGTTGCCCCATGATGGGAACCACCTTGTAGGGTTTGGTGCTTGGACCGTGCTGGGCATGAAGTAAAGAGAAGGGGTTTCTGTACGTGCTGGGGTGGCTGGAAGGATGAGTCTGTCTTGGAAGTCTTGGCCAGAGCAAAGGAAACAAGAGAGATTTATTTGCAGCAGTGGCTTCGATGTGCAGGGGAGCTGCAGGGAGCTTCAAGGACAAGGTTATGGAGCTCCTCCAGCATCTGCAGGGAGCGGGGTTGGTGGTGAGGGGCTCAGACTGACAGTGAGGAGCTGCAAAAGGGACTCACATGAATGTGAAAAGGCAGTGAAAAGGCAATGAAAAGGTAAAAAACGTTAGACTCTGGGCTGGCTGTGGTCCAGAGCCAGCAGCGAAGGAAGATTCAGGCTCATCTACATTGGGTAGGAGCTATTAGCCCAGGAGAAGAGGCAAAGGAGCTCCATGAACCCAGTAACCCCCCCCCAAATCCAGTGGAGAGCTCCTGGGAGGGGAGTGAGGGCTGAGATACCCAAGCTCCATTGTGCAGCACAGGCAGGTGGGCTCAGTTCCTAGCCCTGCAGCATCACTCTGGGTGCATAAAAGCAATTTCAGGGTCAGACCCTGGGCCTGGAAGGGGTGACCCATGCGAGTGGCTGATCTCCACACAGCCTGACCTTCCACACTAAAGATCTCAAACCGCCTGTTTAATTCAGGGGTCCAATGTATGATGCAGCACCCAGACAAGGTCAGAGGCAACATGCAAGGCCCTTCCAAAGAGGCAAATGAAATTTGGTGGAAGTGATGCCCTTAATGAATTTTGTCTTGCAGTTCAAATAAACAGATGTCTCTTACTGTTTGGCCTTTGCACCACTGGCTCAAAGTGACTTTCTTCTTTGTGGCTGCTGCACACATCCTCTCCCCACACTGTAAATGCTGCCTGGTTGTTCTTGGCCAAGGAACAAGCCCTACAGAGCAAGCACAACTCTGTCTCACCGTGAATGATGACCTGGCAGGAGTATAAAGTGATTTTAGTAATGCACTAAAATACATGAGGACTTTCCTTGGTGCGTTAAACCTAGGCTTTGAAGTGCTGCAGTAGTTAGTCCCCATCAGCTTGCTCTAAGTGCATGAAATGTGCTGGCTGGGGAGTGATGAGGAGATAAGTTTAAAAGGGTTCTTTCACTTCAGATGTCAGTGAGTGGGGGGAAAAGTAAATAAAAAGCTATTAAAAAACACCCCTATCTCTGGGTTTCCAAATAGCTGCTACAAAGAGCCCCTTTTTGCTGGAGTACTTTTGTGTTTTGAATCAGGTACGGAATCAGACAGCAGTCTGGTTATGAACCAGATGAGTAGAAAAGGGCCCTGGGATGTGGCTGGAGTTCTTGCCTCTGCCGTCCCTCTCATCAGCTCTGAGACAGGGTGGGAGATGGAGCTCTGCTCGTAATGGTTCAGAGGGGGGTCAGGACCCTTTCTCCAGCCCTATGGGTAAAGGGCACAGGCTGACACTCAGAGAAATGCTTTCCAGAGGTAAGCAGATGTCTCTCCATTATGAGCACAGTTTGCAAAGTGGCTAGTGGCCCAAAGGCACCACATGCCCTTATGGATGTGCAGCACATGAGGGCAGAACTCTGGTTGTCAGCATCAGTGACAGACTGTCCATGCTCTGCCGTGCCACCCACGTTCAAAATCACAGGAGAAAATGCATCTGCTCAAATAAATTAAGCAGGGATAAGGCTGTGCACTGCCCCTTGCCCTCACTGGGACACTGTATTACTGCAGCCTAGTCTTCATTACACTGGATGCAGTCTTGCAGGCTCAGACCCTGTCTGAGGTCACTGGTGACTACTCTGAAGTCTGTGTGGTCTTCTTCCCCACCACTGCAACTGGTGATCCCAGTAAGAGGATCCTGGGTGACCTCCCACTGCTGCAAACAGAGCCTTGACCAAGGCAGAGCTGCCTTTCCACCCCGGTGGTGCACCAGCACGCACAGCCAGGGGCTGAGCAGGGACATTTTGCCTGCCTGACAGTGACCACATCAAACTGAGCTAATTCCCTGTTTATCCTCAATCTCTCCTCAGCCCATTGCTCATCCCAAATCACAAGAGGAGCTCTGTGGTGGGCAGCTGCCCCCTCTCCTTAGAGTCCATGGATAAAGAGCATCCCGGCTGGTCCCTACAGCACACAAAGCTGAAGTGTGGTGGTGCATTTCTTCCCCCCACCTCCTGTTGGCAGCTCTACGACCTCAGGAAATCCAGACAGGTCATGTCCTTTGTGTTATGAGTTGGGCAGTGAAGCGTCCCTTGTCCGTACCAGGCACTCGTGCATGGCTAAGGCGGGAGGCACTGGCTGTACGAGGGACGCCTGTTGCCTGGCCAAGGTGGGAAGTGAAAGCAGGGATAATCAGTCATCCCCTGACAGCCTTGGAACATTCCTCACCTTGGTCGTAGCCTGAGAAGAATGGTACCACAGTTACTGGAATTTTGAAAATTCCAGTAATTACCAGCTTGGATTGTGGCCAGGGTGGAAATTTACGGGTGACTAAAGTAAATCATCTTGCAACCATACACAGTGTGGTCCTGAGAAAGGCCCTTTGAGCTCCCCTGGGACTCAGCGGGCTGTGACAGCATTTCCCTCTGAGCAGCTATCTCGATTGTGCAAAGTCTGGAGGACTGTCACCAAAAGCTGATGGTGGAGCCTGAGCTGAAGACTCCCCTCTCCTCCTTGCCCCTTGAGATATGGCAAGATGAGGCCTTGGGTGATATGGTTTAGAGCGAGGTGTCCCTGCCCATGGCAGGGGGGTTGGAACTCAATGATCTTAAGGTCCTTTCCAACCCTAACTATTCTATGATTCTATGATTTGATGTGAATATTTCACTGCACTCAAGTGGAATGTTCAACGGGTATACTTTTATACATGCATACATATACACACACACATACACATACATACCTCTTTGCGTTTGTGTGTATGTGTGAGTAGATTGATTCAGATACCCTATAGCAACTATAGCATGAATGCTGTCACCTCAAATCTGTAATCAAGTCACTGTTGTGACTGTAGTAAACGCTATTGTCTCACCTTGTGTTAAATTAGTCAGTGATGGACCTCGACTAACTTTTGTGCTCCACCTTAAATTGTGAATAACCTTAGGCAGCTGCTGGATCTTGTGATCCATCTTAGAACCATAGACTGCTGTTAGGCCAAAAGTGTAAAAATCCCACCTGTGGTGAATTGGTACTTTTGCAATATCATATCAAGATCACCTTTCACTGATATCTTCGACAGTGATACTTAGGCAACCCTAACTGATTATACATGTACCCTTTAGACACAAACCATTGACCAAGTCTGGGACCAAGACTGGCTTTAGCTTCACCTAAACCCCATCAGGAATTCAGAAACCAAAAGGGGTCCGCTTTGAACCTTGCGACTCAATTGGAGGATTTCCTTTTATTTCTTCCATGAGACACAAACCATTGACCTTTTCTGGGACTAAGGCTGGATTTAGCTGTACCTAAAGCAAGGGGATCTACTCTGAACCTCATGATCAGTGGGAGGGTCTTCCCTACCCTTTTGCATCTCTGGTCTCTGTGTAAATCATGATAGCTCGACTCTAACTATAGATTTTCCTCTGTATGTTCCATCCACATAGTAAGTAACAGAGTGAACCTTGCTATTGGACTTTGTTAGGCCACAATTTAGAAATTCACATTAAAACTACTTTTGCTAATAACTTTGATGATTCTGTAGGTGACACTAAACACATTCATGACACTGAGACAGCAGGTTCTTTCTCCTTTATTTTCACGTTATTTCCCCCTCAGCTGGAAAGCGAGGTTTCCACTGGGGGCAGGCTGGATAACACCGCTTAGGCTCAGTACTCGAAATAGGTGTTTTGGTTCTGTCTTTCCTTGGTGCTGATGCTCTTCCCTGAGAGGAAGGTCTGGTAGCTCCGAATGTTCAGAAGTGACACTGGCCTCAAATGATAGTGGGTCTTTGCACTGAGCAGTGGGCTGGGGAGCAGCAGAACACCAAGGATAGTTACGGATAGAGGTGCAGGTAGTGCTCAGTCCTAGGGGTGTGCTCGAGGGTACCCACAGCCCAGCACTGCTCACCCCGGTAGAGCTGCAGAAGCAGGTGAGCTTGCAGCGTTGTCCCACTAAAAGAAGTTGGATTCCCCAGTATTGGACACTGTTAAGATTCAGCTGGACATGCTGCTGGAGCATCTAGTCTAGGTCATGCTTTGCCGAGAAAGGTTGGACCAGATGATCTTTGAAGTCCCTTCCAACCTGGGATTATAGGATTCAAGGATTCTAATATTCCTGAGCTCTGCACATCACCCAAAGCCTTGATGTCACCCATTGCATCAGCACAGGTATTGCTTACTGTTAAGCACAAGGAAAACAGAGGCAGAATTGGGAGATTTTGCCTATGCCACATTTAGGACTGATGCTGCAAGGCCAAGCTGTGCTCTCCTGTTAGCAAACACCCCTGACCTCCAGGCCACAAATACTAATGTACAAACAGCTCTGCTTATTGACATTACCCACATGGGTTCAGTCACATATCTGCATGAGGAGGGACCATGGGGATGGGTAAATGTTTGAAGGGATAGAGGAAAAATACAGATTGTTTTAAACACCAGCACCACTTGTGCTGCTTTGGGGTCACACTGCCTGTCCCTCCAGGAGCTGGTCGAAGCCAAATCACTTCTGTTGACATGGGTCTCAGCAGCAAGGAGCAGGGGTACATAGCAGCCAGTCAGGGTCAGGAGCAGGTCTGGAGATGGTGGCCAGGGAAGCCAAAGGCCAGCTGGCAGTGAGGTACATCTGGGATCAAGCTCAAAGCCTGGTCCATGTTGGAATGGAGGAGGTCCAAGACTGGGCGCTGAGCCAGCTGTGGCACAGCTGCAAAGGTGGGGGCTGGTGACTTTGCGGCTTAAAAGCAGATCCCAAAGGAAAGGAGGTGCCGGCATCACCTCCAGCTTTGCTCACAACAGCTCATATCAGCACCAAGGCTGACCTTGGCCTCTGCCAGCTAAACTCCTGTAAGGGGGATGCGCCCATGGCCCCGACACCATCTGTTTTATTTCATCCACCTTCATCTCTCCTTATCCTACACATTACTCTGCCTTCCCAGGAAACCTGGCCTGTGTGAAGGACAGGCTCCCACCCTCCTGTTTGTATTAGATGGGCAGTGAAGACATGATAAGACACCACAAGCTAGCCAGGAGAGCCACAGCACACATGTTAAATGAAGTACTCCACCGCCATCAATGAACCGCTCTTTTAAACAGCTTCACAGAGCTCCACACACAAAGTTTTGCACATTCACAGGTTTCCAGACCTGCCCATAGCCAACCTCACTGCTGTGCTTGCAGCACCACCATCACTTCCCATCTCACAGCAAGGGGGATCCAGCCACCTCCGGGGCTGTGCAAGCAGGACAGCGGCCAGAGAGGCAGAGGCATAATCCAGCTGCCCTGGTTGGTGTCCGCAGTGCACTGGCAGGGGTTGCCCAGAGAAGCTGTGGATGCCCCATCCCTGGCAGTATTCAAGGCCAGGTTGGATGGGGCTTGGAGCAACCTGGTCTGGTGGAAGGTGTCCCTGCCCATGGCAGGGGGTTGGAACTGGATGAGCTTTAAGGTCCCTTCCAACCCAAACCATTCTGTGATTCTGTGTACAAGGACAGGAAGAGAGCTGGGTTGTCCAGCCTCGAGAGAAAAGGGCAAAGAGGGATCTTGTTATTGTCTACAGCTACCTTATGGCAGGTAGCAGAGATGAGACCATCTAGGAGATGTAGACATGTAAAAACTGGAGGATGTACCTTGAATTTCGAGGTGCACGCTGACAGTAGTGGTGGCACAAGTTATAACATAGGCAGATCCAGACGGATACAAGGGAAACACTTGATCTGGAGACCTCTGAAGACAGCAGAAGGGTTTGGGGCTTTTTTTCCCGTCAGATTTTACACTCCTGTTGAACCACAGGAATGCAGCACTAGAGGGCACCCACGGATTTGTGCTGGCGCTGGGTCTAGCTGCTTCTCACCCCAGCTCAGCTCTCGGTCCTGGGCTGGCAGCATTGTAGGTGCCTTTTCAACTCATTCCAGGTCCAGGGTAACCATCCCACAGGGGCATTATGGTGCTCAGAGCTCAAGCCAAGAGGGAATTTGGGATGCCAGTGGAGAACAATGCACTCAGCTCCGCTGGAGCTGAGCAGGGCAGTGGGGCTGTCAGTGCTATGGGTGTCCACCCAAAAGGGTGGTGGGACATAATGGTGGGCTGTGCCACAGGGCACAACAGCCAGTAATACACAGCACATGGCTGTGAACTTAGACCGTCTCAGTTGAGTTTGCCCACTGGGAAGATGCAAAGTCTCTCTGCAGGAGTTTGGCCCCTTTGTTCCCTGAATTTGGGCTGGGTCTGCACTATTCCACATCCCCAGAAAGCTTCCTTTCCCTTTATTCTTGATAAAACATATTTATGACTATTTCATAGAATCACAGAATGGTTTGGGTTGTAAAGGACCTGAAAATCATCCAGTTCCAACCCCTTGCCACGGTCAGGGACACCTCACACTAGAACACATGGCCCAAATCTGGCCGTGAACACTGACAGGGATGGAGCATTTACCACTTATTTTTGCAGCCTGTTCCAGTGTCTCACCACCCTCACAGTAAAGAACTTCTTGCTTTTATCTAACCTGAGCTTCCCCTGTTTCAGCTTATTTCTATCTCCACTGTGTGGTGAAAAATATCCAGCTCCCTAATCCACATTTCAGCAGTTTTCTGCCTAATTCTGTCTACCCCTGTGCCCCAGAGATGCTGACAAGCTCCTCTGCATGGTCCAACCTCTGCAGCACCCATCCTGACATCCCCAGGAAGAGAAAATGCCCTATGACTCTCTCAGTGAGGTGTTTTGGTGCTGCTCAGAGCCACCACAGCTCTTCCACGAGGAACATAAATGGAGATCCATGAGGGATAAGGAATACCGAGGAGCTTTGCTCTGTAATGTCTTCTTTTTGCCTTTCAGTTTCTATGACCTCCTCCCCTCTTCGGGGCCCTGTATTGTGGAGGCACATAGCCAGCAGAGGACTGGATCCACCAGCTCAGAGGAGAGAAACCCCAGCACTGCCTATGCCCAGCTATGGGGAGGCAGGACGCAGCTATAGGATGGGGTTGGGATTACCCCATCAATTCATGGCCATAATGACTTGGAGACCTCGCTTATTTGTGATGGCTTGGGTGGTCAGTGGGCAGCCCAGGGGACTCACCTTTAGCCAGCTCACATTTGGTTGCTAAAGAGCTTTGTGATGGCTTTGAAATGAATAACAAACACACAGCCAGGAGGTTGCTTGCTTAAAAAAACCCCAAAAAAACCAAAACAACACAAAACACTTGGGATTTCTAAACTGAGAAAAAAGCCTCCAACCTGGCACTCTGCCCACCTATTCTTCCCTTTCAGGTTAATCTCGTTTCTTCTGCTCTCATTTTTCTTAGGAAGGAAGGTTAGGGTGAAGAAGAGGAGGATCAGTGCAGGGCTGGCTCTCCCCAAGACCTTTGTGATTTAGTCCCACTAGCCCTGGGAACTGGGTGCCACCACATCCCAGGGACTATCTGCAGTGCCATTGGTACTCACACGTCAAGTGGATGTGAGTATCTCTCCTTTTCCTTCATGGGCAGCACAAAGAAGGGATGGATGTACAGCATCCCCCTCCTGTCCCAGTAAAAATCACCGTGCTGCTGAGCCAGCTGCAGATCAAGGCAAACAGATGGGGATTTCAGGTGAGTTCAGTGCCCCATGTCTTGTTCACACCAGGACGCTGCAGGGGTTACTTTTGTAAGGCACATGGCAATTCCCTCCCTGCTCTAACCATGCAGAAATGCCAGACACAGTCATGCTCCTAAAATGCCCTGCCTCAGACCCTCAGGCAAATTAACAAGCAGCATCTGTGCTTAATCTGTGCTAATTTGGCAGCTTGGCTTGTGTTGCTTGTGTTTGTATTGCATCGTAAGGTGTGAGCAAGGCACCGGCTGAGGCATGGGGCAAGCATGGTGCCTGCAGCAAGGACTCCTGCAGCCGGATGCTCAAGTGTGGAGTTATTTCAGGGCAGGTCTATCTGCAGCTCTGTTGCATTCAAGAGCCTTCCCTTGTGCTGTGCCTTCTGTTACACCAGCCCTGGGACAGGGGGACCTGGCTGCTGCCTGTGCCTGGGCTTCAGGCACAGCGAGAGAGCCTTGCTGTGTGCATGCAGCAGAATCATAGAATCATAGAGTAGTGAGGGTTGGAAAGGACCTTAAGATCATCAAGTTCCAACCCCCCTGCCATGGAAAGGAACACCTCACACTAGACTATGTCACCCAAGACTGTCCAACCTGAACACTGCCAGGGATGAATCATTCACAACTTCCTGTCTTATGAAGATAGGCTGAGAAAGTTGGGGCTGTTCAGCCTGGAGAAGGCTGTGTGGAGACCTCCTAGCAGCCTTCCAGTATCTGAAGGGGGCCTATAAGGATGCTGGGGAGGAGCTCTTCATTAGGGACTGTAGTGGTAGGACAAGGGGTAGCAGGTTAAAACTTAAACAGGGGAAGTTTAGATTGGATATAAGGAAGAAATTCTTTACTGTGAGGGAATGGTCGTCAACCTCCAGCCCCCAGCACAAGCCTGTGGCCACCCTGCTTCCACTCCACAGTCCCCCATGTCCTCACCTGGTAAAACCTGCTCAGCTCCTGCGATCAGCCACCATCCCGGTTGAAGTGGGTCTGCAGTGGGATGCGCAGGTAGACATCCTGATCCTCTGCTTGACATGTTGTCACCATCTGGAGACCTGGGGGGTATCTACAGGTGTTTCTGAAGGAAAATGATGGGTTTGGGATGTGCCTTCAATACTTACATGGAAAGTGTGGTTACGAAGAGCCATGCTGAGCTCCCTTCTCCTCTATGGCTCTGTAAAATGCCCATGGGAGGCAGCACCCATCTCTCTGGGCCATCTAGTCTAGGTGATGCTTTGCCAAGAAAGGTTGGGCCAGATGATCCTTGAGGTCCCTTCCAACCTGGTAGTCCATGATTCACTTCAGCAAAACCCCAGCTTGATGCCCAGCATTGCATCTGAGGATAAACTGCTGTTCAAGGGATTATGGTGATGGACAGAACACTGCCTTCACAACCCAGGAAATGTTTTCATTTTCCTTTTTAAGCCCCATTCCCTGCATTTTACAAGTGCCCCATGCAGGGGGCTGCTGCTGGTAGAGGAGGGTTCACCACATCCTTGTCTGGCTGTGCACTGAGGAATAGGGAAGGGGAGCAGTTGGTCCCTGTCCTGGCAGAAAACCATTAGAAAGAGTGAGAATGAACGGGATCCCTCTATTCCAAGCACACAGCCCCCAGCATCCAGGAAAGGTAAGCATTCATTCTGGCCAAATGTCTCCTGATGACCTCATGTTCCCAGAAACATGGGGTTTTGGGCTGAGGACGTGGTACCAAACTCAGCTCATTCCTCCCTGGTAGCTTGCAGAGGGTTCAGGGCTAGATGGGGAGATGCTGCAGAGCATTTTGAGGGACCAAGATGGGACCGTTCTCTCCTGGGACAGTCCCAGATGCTGCATAATTTTCCCATAAAGAAATCAGGAGCTCCCTTCAAGGAGGGAATAGCATCACAAGTTTCCCTTTCCAAAACACGGTGCCAGGCTGGGAATTCACCAGGACATGGCACTGGCTGGCCTGGAGAGCTGGGGAGGGCTGCACAGACCCGTTCCTACCACTTCACCTGGCCCACAAATGGAAGTTCCCTTAGTTGTTTGCATATTCAGAGCTAAAAATCCATTTATCCCTAATAAGGAGTGGTAAAACAATAAGCTGCATTTTCCACTTCAGCCAGCCCTGAAAGCTTGTAGGACTCCCAGTGTGTTCTCAGAGTGTGGAAATATGTCATTATTCTCCCTTCAGCTTCTCACAATGGCTGCAAGCAATTGGCTTTCCTACACAGCCCAGTGTGCTGAGGCACTGCTGTGTTTCACAGGAGCCAGTGGAAATTGCTTCTCAGCCAGGCAAGCTGACCCAAGGCATACTGAAGTCAATTTTGCTGCAGTCTGAGATGCTCTGCTTATAACCTGAAACCAGCATTGCAGCTGGTGCTGGAGGCCTTGGCTCAGGTGCAGAGCTGTATCGGTCTGCAAAAGCCAGGAGAAGAAAAAGAATCTTTAAGGGACAAAGAAGGAAATACAGCCCTTTCCCCTTGCTGCCAGGGCAGAGAAAATAGAGCTGCTGAAAAATGGAGGTAACTGAAGGCAAAAATCAAGGACAAACTAATTAGTGCATCCCCTGTTCAATGAGACCCCAGGGCTCTGAGTCCTGTGTCTTGTGCCCCTGACCCCAAGGGACAGGACAAAGGGGAATGACTTTAACCTGACAGAGGGGAGACTGAGATGAGCTCTTAGGCAGAAGTTCTTCCCTGTGAGGATGGTGAGGCGCTGGCACAGGTTGCCCAGAGAAGCTGTGGCTGCCCCATCCCTGGCAGTGTTCAAGGCCAGGTTGGATGGGTCTTGGAGTAACCTGGTCTAGTGGAAGGTGTCCCTGCCTATGGCAGGGGTTTGGAACTGGATGAGCTTTAAGGTCTCTTCCAATCCCAGTCATTCTGTGATTCTATGATTCTAGGGCAAACACAGCACAAAACCCATCCAGCTTTCCCAAGGAAGTCCACTATAGGTGGGTTTTTTACCTTACGCTGCCCAGTTCCCATGGTGTAGCTTAAACCAGGAATGAGGATTTGCACACTACAAACTTTGCTCATATTTGAGCAAGATTCCATCCCAGGGGTTTGCTCATTTATGATTTTCCACAAGATAAGGCTGTTAATCCTGATCTCTCTATTAAAAGGATTTTGCTTGCCATAGCCACTGCCACAATAATGCCGTCAGAGGCCAGATCTAGCAGGTCACAGCTTGCCAAAGGTAATCCTAACCCTCAGCATATTTATATACCTTATACCTAGCTTTGACTGAGGACACCCTTGTTCACCAATTTACAGGATGAGAGAGCTGTGCCAGCACATTCCTTTTGCTCAGATCTCTGATTTAACAGCCAAATAATGATATAATATTTTTAATTTCACAGCTGACCAATTTCCTGATGACATATTTATTTGACCCATATTGATTCCACCCGTCAAATAGTTAATATATGGAACTGAGTTGTTAGTTCCCACCTAAAGATCATTGCTTCCATAGTTGCAGTGGCTTCCCTACACTGATATGATGTGTTCAAAAGTCTATAAGGTTAAGACTCGCTCAATTACTTAAAGGGATTCCTAATAGCAGTGTATTAAATTGCTCTACATTTCCACACACCCAACAATTTTTTACTTTCATATAATTCACTACCTTTTCTAACAGACCTACGTAAGCATTGGCCTCAAAAGCAGCATCGGCTACCTGAAATACAAGCATGATTATTGAGCAATCTATTTACACTCATGTTTGTTCTTGTGCTTCCAAGCAAATCACTTATGACAATCACGTTTAGTTTTCTCGCAGTGCTCAGGGGAAATCTGCCATATATATGGCACCAACAGAGGCTTTGAACATTCAAACTTTAAAATAGCTATTGATGTTCTGAACTTCAAAGCCTGTCTTTGCAACTTGAATTCCCCTTCTAAATATCTAAGTGTAAGGCCTGGTTCATGTCCTGTAACAAGTAATATACGAGCCAATTCATGAGCCTGCGTAAGCGCTTGGTGGCCCACCGTTCACAAGGACTCTGCACAAGAGGTGGTCTGACCCATAACTGTTGATTACACTCTAAGCACTCGCACAATCCCCACAGCTCACAAGACCCCCAGGTTGGAGAAATTAAAGTTGATTCAGTCTATTCATTCAGTCACCGACAAGAGGGGTATTGTGGCTCTCCTTGGGCAGCACTGACTCTTTCCAGGGCTTCACCCACCTAACTGGCACCCACCGTGGACCAGAATCTGTAATTACACACATATAACCTCGACCAGTTAGCTTTACTCCTGCAGGACCCTCTACCCTCGGTTTCCAAATCCTTGTACTAGACCAGAATACCCTGTTTTAGTCATATAACCTGAACCTAAAGCCTGATGGTGTATTACAGCAGGAGGTCGTTAGAGTCTCCTGTCAATTGCAAAAAACTCATAACATATACAGCTTTCTGTGTCCTTGCTACCGGCGTAAGCCCTTCTTCCCCCGTTTTATTGGTTTTCCAACAACTGTTTCAAAGTTGGATGTGTTCATTCAATAAGAGCTTGCCCTGTAGGAGAATGAGGAATGCCAGTGATATGAGAAATACCCCAAGTATTCAAAAACTTAGAAAGTATTGAAGGGCTATAGCTAGGTGCATTGTCTGTTTTGAGCTGTAAAGGTACACCCATAGCTGCAAAACAACCACATAGATGCACGACTACACGGTGTGCAGTCTCACCAGCCAGGGGAGTGGCCCAGACAAAGTGAGAAAAGCTGTCAATATTTTAATTTCTCAAAAGAAGGTACTTGAATCACATTCATTTGCCAAAGTTGCAGAGGTTGGAGGCCTCGAGGATGGACTCCAAAGCCTATACCTACTGTTTGGCCTTGACAATCGGGACAAGATCGCACAATGCCTCGAACATCTGTAGGGACAGTCCAAACTGTCGAACTAACATCTTTGCTTATTGATGGAAGAAGGCATGGGATGCTCGAGCTTGTTGAAAAATACTTACAGAGGGCCCTGCCCATGCTGGGGCAACTAATTTATCCACTTTGTTATTGCCTACACTAAGGCTTCCTGGAAGGCCTGAATGACTGCGAATATGCATAATAAAATATGTACATTTACTATTATTCACAAGATGTAATAAGGTTTTAACAAGATCCACAACCTGTGATTAGCAACTTCTTGTAAAATAGCCCTTTCTAGATGCTGAACAAGGCCTACAACATATAAAGAATTGCAGACAATATTAAGAGGGGTGTCAGGCCATGGCTGAAATACCGCAACAACAGCACTTAGTTCTGGTGTTTGTAGTGAATCGGAGAACTGACCAAGTATTTTCTGCTCTTTGTAACCATCATCTGTTTGCCAGACACATCTGACTGTGTGATTAATTTTGCTTGGATCTGTAAAAACAGTTAATCCTACAACAGGTTTACTAGAATAAAAAGTAACATCTTCAAACTGATCATTCTTTAACATTGTAAACATCTTATGAGGCAGAAAATGTGTATTAAGAGGACCAACAAAATCTATGAGAGCAGACTGGAAAGCAGAGCTAGATTGTTGTGCCCAGTCCAACCATACCCTGGTAAGTAGCAGACAAATTTGTGATGGATCGCAGCCCATAATTTCCTGACAAAGTGAACAACTTCGTACAATTAAAAGAGCGAATACTTCTAACCAAGTAGTTGCAGCTTTGTGTAATTGATAAGGTAAGAAAATTCACTCCAAAATGCATAAAGGATCAGTCTTTTGAAGATCCCACTGTGCTAGTAGACTAAATGGGTGATACTATTGACAATAAACAGAATTACCTGTAAATCTGGATTCCATTGGGAAGCATAATAGTTGGTGATTTTTGTCATGATGTGATCTAAGGCCTCATACTGGACTCTTGATAGAAATCATTTTTGTTCTGCCTTTGACTCGCCCTTTAAAAGAGGCATGAGATCAGTCAAATCATCATTTGTGATTCCACACAAAGGGCGGATCCATTGGATATCACCCATCAATTTCTGCACATCAGACAAAGTTTTTATCTGTGTGACAATTTTAACCTTTTGGGGCCTAATTTCAGTTCTGGAAATGATTCACCCCAGAGACTCCCAAGGGGCTTCACATTGCAGCTTCTC